CCCAACGCTTTTCATCCATCTATATTGAAACTAGAGTTGACAGGCAAACTTATTGTGCCAGTGCTCATTTTGCTAGGATGCTATGGAATGAAAGCCATTCATATAAACACTGCATTCCTAGAGTTGGGAGAATATCTAATTCAACCCCATTCCATGCAGGAATACACAATTAATACAATTATTTATATAGGTTATAGGACTGCACTAGTTTACCAGTCATAATCTCATTTCATAATAATGGAACAAGGGGGAAGGGAGGGAGGGAGAGTATTAAAGGCAAAGATTGCTAGCAGAAGCACTCACTATATGAAGAGAAAGCTCTATGCAGGGTAGCTTCTTCTCCTGAGACTTCAAATAAATAAGATACCCAGAAATATTTGGTTTTCTGAGCCAGTAGGTTCATATCGGCATAGATTGAGTCCCAAAAGTAATTGCGGTGGAAAGAGGTATTTGTCCCCGTGAAGGATTGAATGACCACAGCATCAGGTCTGCTGTTTTTGCTAGTGGAGGGTCCCAAACAGCAACCGAACCTAAAAAAAAGTGCCATTCTTTAGTCATCAGATCAAGAAAAAAATGTTTTTTGGTATACTTTGAAATTTGGAAATGTATGTGTATGTGTGTGTGTTTAAAAACCTGAATAGTGCTTATATTAACTCTATTATGCAATCTTTCTTGAGATTCTAATGCAGTGCTTTTCAGCCTGTGGGTCCCCAGGTGTTTCGGCCTACAACTCCCATAAATCCCAGCCAGTTTACCAGCTGTTAGGATTTCTGGGAGTTGGAGGCCAAAACATCTGGGGACCCACAGGTTGAGAATGACTGGTCTAATGGCTATGTGTTTATTTTGCAAGACATGTTGAAGATTTTTCAATGTAAAGATGGGTTTTACATCCTGGACATTCCACAGATATATAAACCTCACTTGCCCAGTTTCCCCTCAGCCTCTGAGAATGTCTGCCATAGATGTGGTCGAAATGTCAGGAGAGAATGCTTCTGGAACATGGCCATACAGTCCAGAAAGCTCATAGCAATCCAATTTATTTATCGTGTCAGGAGCGAACCAAACAGTTGTATTGCATTAAAAAACCCCACAAAGATTGCAGACTTGGCATTCCAGCTGGCCATTTGGAGTGCCTCTGGTGTTGCTGCAAGAAGATCCTCCATTGTGCATGTGGCTGGGCTCAGGCTGCATTGTAATAGGTGGTCTATGGTTTGCTCTTCTCCAACTGGCATGTCGTGGATTCCACTTTGTAGCCCAGTGTTTCTCAACCTTCCTAATGCCGTGATCCCTTAATATAGTTCCTTGCGTTGTGATGACCTCCAACCATAACATTATTTTTGTTGCTACTTCATAACTGTCATTTTGCTACTGTTATGAATCATAATGTAAATATCTGATATTTATTTTCATTCACTGGACCAAATATGGCACAAATACTCAATATGCCCATATCTGAATACTGGTGGGGTGGGGTGTGTGTGTGTGTGTGATTTTGTCATTTGGGAGTTGTAGTTGCTGGGATTTATAGTTCACTTACAATCAAAGAGCATTTTGAACTCCACCAATGACAGAACTGAACAAAACTTGGCACACAGAACTCCCATGACCAACAGAAAATACTGGAAGGATTTGGTGGGCATTGACCTTGAGTTTGGGAGTTATAGTTCACCTATATCCAGAGAGTACAATGGACTCAAACAATGATGGATCTGGACCAAACTTGACATGAATACTCAATATGCCCAAATGTGATAACTAGTGGAATTTGGGGGAAATAGACCTTGACATTTGGGAGTTGTAGTTGCTGGGATTTATAGTTCACCTACAATCAAAGAGCATTCTGAACCTCACCAAACTTCTCACACAGTACCCCCACGGTCAACATAAAATACTGTGGTTTCTGATAGCCTTTGGTGACCCCTCTGACACCCGCTTGCGACCCACCCAGGGTTCCGACCCCCAGGTTGCGAAATGCTGTTGTAGCCCCATTTCTTAAGGTTGGCTCTGCATCTCGTGGTGCCAGAGCACAGTCTGTTCAGCACCTTCCAAGTCGCCCAGTTTAGTGTGTGCCCAGGAGGGAGTCTCTCATTTGGTATCAGCCATTAATTCAGGTTCTGGGTTTTAGCCTGCCACTTTTGGACTCTTGCTGAGGTGTTCCTGTGAGTGTCCCAATGTGCTTACAGATTGGAATTCCAAAGACCAGAACTACTCCAGATTCCAAAATTGTCTACTCTGGTGTGTGTGTGGGCTTGTTGCTACTAAAGGTTTGCAACGTACTTTTCTTAAGTTTTGGAAAGGATCAGGGCTGTTACAGCTGACACAGTTAATTACTGGGATAATTAAGTGTATTGTTACCTCATGTGTGTTTGTACTTTAAGTATTGTATTTGAGTTTTGCATTATCCGTGTTGGAGTTTTGCATTCTTTGTGTTGGAGTATTGTGTTCTATGTGTTTGAGCATTGTGTTTGTATGCTTTGCTTGGGGCTCGGTTTGAGTTGAAAAACCTTTGTTTGTTTGATGCCGGGAGAAGTTACTGCAAGCGTCCAGAGCTGAAAATAAGGCAGCAAGTCAAGGTCACTCTACGGACAACTGACTAAGAGAGACTGTATATCAACGCGGAATGAAGAGAACTCACCAAAGATATTGTTTTATGTTATGGTTTTGGTGAGAGCAATTCTTCTATTTTGTTTTGTATGCTGTGAATACAACTTCATTTCTTTTCTACTTAAAGCTGAAGACTCATGTGTTTTTCTTTTATGAATTACTTTATCACACACTAGCTGTACCTACCATGCGTTACTGTGGCCAATCTTCCATCTCTCCTTCCTTCCTTTCTTTCTCTCCTTCCTTCCTTCTTTTCTTCTTCCCTTCCTTCCCCCCACCTTTTCTTTCCCTTCCTTTCTCCCCTTTCTTCCTTCTCTACCTACTCTTGGACTGCACCTCCCAGCAGTCCTCCTGATCCATCTATCTACCTTACCTATCTGGAGGATTGCTGGGAGTTGCAGTCCAAGAATAGGAAATTGCAAGTATGCAGGGATTGGGATGCTCTTAAAGAAATCTAAGAAGAAAGCTTGCAGCTTGGAAGCGCTGCATTTGGATCATCCCTCTCTCCTAAAAGGCCTGGTCTAGGGGATGCTGGGAGCTATAGTCCGAAAGAGAGTGTGGATATGCTATTGTGTGGGTATTTTTTCTGGGGGAGTAATTTTTGTGCATGCGCTGTAACATCTTTTTGCTTTTTTGGCTTTTTAAGTCTCGATGTGTTTTTCAGTGTTTTTATGAGTGATGGTCACTCACTGGCCTGATAGATGTATTGTGTCCAAATTTGGTGTCAATTCGTCCAGTGGTTTTTGGCTTATGTTAATCCCACAAACTAACATTACATTTTTATTAATATAGACCAGTGTTTCTCAACCTGGGGGTCGGGACCCCCTGGGGGGGGGGTCGTGAGGGGGTATCAGAGGGGTTGCCAAAGACCATCAGAAGACACAGTATTTTCTATTGGTCATGAGAGTTCTGTGTATGAAGTTTAGCGCAATTCTCTCATTGTTGGAGTTCAGAAAGCTCTTTGATTGTAGCTGAACTATAAATTCCAGCAACTACGTGGCAACTACAACTCCCAAATGTCAAGGTCTATTATCTCTAACCTTCACCAGTATTCACATTTGGGCATATTGAGTATTCGTGCCAAGTTTGGTCCAGATCCATCATTGTTTAAGCCCACAGTGCTCTCTGGATGTAGGTGAACTACAACTCCAAAACTTAAGGTGAATGCCTATCCAACCCTTCCAGTTGGTCATAGGTGTTCTGTGTGCCAAGACTGGTTCAATTCAGTCATTGAGTTCAGAATGCTCTTTGATTGTATGTGAACTATAAATCTCAGCAACTACAACTCCCAAATGACAGCATCAATCCCCCCTTCAACCCCACTAGAATTCCAATTTGGGAGTATCAGGCATTTGTGCCAAATTTGGTCCAGTGAATGAAAATACATCCTGCATATCAGATACTTACATGACAATTCATAACAGCAGCAAAATTACAGTTGTGAAGTAGCAACAAAAATAATGTTATGGTTGGGGGTCACCACAACATGAGAGAACTGTATTAAGGGGTCGCGGCATTAGGGAGGTTGAGAACCATTGATATAGACTAACTGTCCCCTGCCACGCCCTGCTGTGGCCCTATGTGTGTGCGCATATATTTGTGTATATGTGTATAAATGTGTGTTTGTGTATATATATGTGGTTTTGCGCATGCATCATGTAATTATTGTTTTTTGGCCTTTAAAGTCCCTTCCGCTGTGTTTTTCAGTGTTTTTATGAGTGATGGTCACTAATAGGTGTATTGTGACCAAATTTAGTGTCAACTTGTCCAGTGGTTTTTGAGTTCTGTTAATCCCACAAACAAACATTACATTTTTATTTATATAGTTATTACAAGGGTAAAGTGAGTCTGCGGGGTACTTATGTAAACGCTGACAAGGCTGAGGCAGGGACACCTTTGCTATCTGATGTTTGGGTTGTTGTAGGTTTTTTCGGGCTGTATGGCCATGGTCTAGAGGCATTCTCTCCTGACGTTTCGCCTGCACTTTGGCAAGCATCCTCAGAGGTAGTGAGGTCTGTTGGAACTAGGCAAAAGGGTTTATTTATCTGTGGAATGACCAGGGTGAGATGTTTGCTATCTGCACAAAGTTATTGATTTAAAATATTGCATTTTAAAAAAATTCAGGCCGTCTGCGGTGAAGATGAACGGTGAATGAAAACCGTGTTTGGAGGTGGGTCCCATCTCGTTGGGGCAATGAATCAGGCGGGGAGGCGGCCCTCCTTCCCTCCCTCCAGAGGTGGGGGTCCTTCTGCCTCCGAAAAGGGGCGGGGCGGAGGCCACGCCTCCTCCTCTTCCTTTTCCTCCCGCGCGCACGCCAGCTTCCCTTTCCTTCCCTCCCTCCTCTCCGGCTCCACATCCGGCCAGCAGACAAGAGAGCAAGCGCGAGCCCAGCCCGGCCCCGCCCCTGCCTGCGCGCGCCGCCTCCTCCTCCTCCCCCCTCCCTCCCTGATCGCGGAGCCTCAGTGCGAGGGCTCGGAGGGAGGGGCCGGGCGGGGAGGGAAAGGAAAGGAAAGAAGGGGGCGAGGGAGCCGCCGGGGCCGCCATATGCTCCGAATCGCGCCCGAGCAGACCCCGCTGGAGCCCTGCCCCTGAGAGGCCTCTCGATGGGCAGCTCCCACTTGCTCAACAAGGGCCTGCCGCTCGGTAAGGCGCTGCCGCCGCTGCCTCGGGTTTGCTGTGCCTGTTTCTCCCGCCTCGGCTGAGAGGCTGCCTCGCGCACGGGGGGAGGGGAGGGGGAGGAGGAGAAGGCCCCTCGCGCTTTGTGAGGCATTGTGTCCCCTCCTGCTTCCCCTCAGAGGCCGAGGGRTAGGCCGCAGGGAGGACATTGGGGGGGGGGGGCGCTCTTTCGGCCTGGCCTCGCTCTCCGCTGGGGCCTTTTCCCGTGAACACAGCCCTTTGGGGAGGGGGCTCGTTGGAGGCCGGTTTCCGGTTGCGCCCCCAAAGGCTGAATATGGTTATTGGGCGCCGCTGGGAGGGTCCAAGGCCTGGCGCCTCTTGCCTCGCTCGGGAAAGTTTGATTTCGTCCCCTTTTGTCCTTCCTCCCTYCCTTCCTTCCTGGCACCGCCTGGGCCCRGTTTCGAGCCTCCCCTTCCCTCCCTCCTTTCCTCCAGGGGGCCGTTTGTGCCAAGATGGAGGAGGAGGAGGAAGCCGAGCTCCCGCTTCCTCACCTCTGGGGGGCTCCCTGACTTCCTGGCTGTCTCGCTGCCCTCCCTTTTGATCCATCTTCTGTCTCTCCCTCTTGGCCATCCAACCAAGGGATCGTGGAGCGCAGGGCTGCTCTTTCGATGCCGGCTTGGAGTGGGCATTGTTCTTAGGAAGCCATGTAAGGGCCTTGTGGTCAAGAGGGCTTTTAATCAAACAATAATAGTAATACTTTATTTGTACCCCGCTACCATCTCCCCAAGGGACTCGGTGCGGCTTACATGAGGCCAAGCCCACAATACATCAATAAACAAACAAACAATACAATACATTTCATATAAATCACATTAACAAAAAATAGGCAATAAACAATCAACAGTGACATACAAGCATTTAAAACCAATGGTTGGGCCAAATGTAATAGATTAAAATTAAAAAAATAATGCTGACGTGAGCAAGGTAGGATATAAATTGGATAGGATTTTCAGAGAGAATTGAGGGAACGCAGTCAGCCCTAAATCAGTGGTAAAGTGCATTTTGAGGGCCTATTGCTGAGAGTTTTCCTTATTCTGGGAAGGCACACTGGAACAACCACGCTTTTGTTTACAGCCACCCATCAACAGAGAGGCCATCTAGATTGCCATATAACACATTATGTGGCCAGTGTTGACTCCTATAACTCACTTATTAGGACCTCCTCACACTATATCAGTGGTTCTCAACCTTCCTAATGCTGTGACCCCTTAATACAGTCCCTCATGTTGTGGTGACTCCCAACCATAAAATTGTTTTAATTGCTACTTCATAACTATAATTCTTGAACTGTTATGAATCATAATGTAAATATCTGATATGCATGATGTATTTTCATTCACTGGACCAAATTTGGCACAAATACCCGATATGCCCAAATTTGAATACTGGTGGGGTTGGGGGAGATTGATTTTGTCATTTGGGAGTTGTAGTTGCTAGGATTTATAGTTAAACCTACCATCAAAGAGCATTCTGAACTCCAGCGATGATGGAATTGAACCAAACTTGGCACACAGAACTCCCATGACCAACAGAAGATACTGGAAAGGTTTGGTGGACATTGACCTTGAGTTTTGGAGTTGTAGTTCACCTACATCCAAAGAGTACTGTGGGTTCAGACAAAGGTGGATCTGGACCAAACTTGGCATGGATATTCAATATACCCAAATGTGAATACTGGTGGAGTTTGGGGAAAATAGACCTTGACATTTTGAAGTTGTAGTTACTGGGATTTATAGTTTACCTACAATCAAAGAGCATTCTGAACCCCACCAATAGAATTGGGCCAAACTTCCTACACAAAACTCCCATGACCAACAGAAAATACTATGTTTTCTGATGGTCTTTGGTGACCCATCTGACCCCCCCCCCCCCCCCCCCCCCGGGATCCTGACCCCAAGGTTGAGAAACACTGCACTTAGAGAATGAATCCACTTTAAATCCGGTTGCTGCCTCCTGCAGAATTCTGGGGTTTGTAGTTTAGGGACGAGTCTTTAACAGCCTCACTAAACTACAAATCCCAGAATTCTGCAGGAGACACAAACTGGATTCATTCTCTAGTGCAGGCACGGGCAAACTTCAGCTCTCTAGGTGTTTTGGACTTCCAACTCCCAAAATCCCTAACAGCTGGAGTCCAAGACACCCAGAGGGCCAAAGTTTGTCCATGCCTGCTCTAGTGTGATGAAGTAGATAGGCTGCATTATATGACTCTACACAGACCATATAGTGCAGTTTCAAACTGCATCATAGGGCAGGGTAGATGAGGTCTCGAGGCTGGATCTACACTGATCTATATCCCAGAACCTGATCTCAGATTATCTGCTTTGAATTGGATTTATTTCTTTACTATATTTATACCATGCTCTTCTCACCTCAAAGAGGACTCAGGGTGGCTTACATCATAGCAAAATTCAATGCTGCATTATACATACTAAATATAACATATCAAATTATAAAACTATTAAAACATAAATACAATAAGTAAAGGTCTCCCCCTTAACATTAAGTCTAGTTGAGTCCGACTGTGGGGTGGTACTCATCCAAGGTGATGTGGCCAGCATGACTGCATGGAGTGCCATTACCTTCCTGCCAAAGCAGTACCTACTCACACTTGCATATTTTCGAGCTGCTAGGTTGGCAGAAGCTGGGGCTAATAACGGGAGCCCACCCTGCTCCCCAGATTTGAACCTCTGACCTTTCAGTCAGCAAGTTCAGCAGCTCAGTGGTTTAACCCACTATAAAACCCCTATAAATACAATACAACAGATTAACATCATAGTACCAAGTCCCATAGTCATTATATAAGCTGCTACGTTCAAATCGGATTGTATGAGTCTACACTTATATATGATCTACTGTGGAGGGCCTTCTCTTAGTCCCACCACCCGTTCAAGGACGCTTGATGGGAGCATGAGAGAGGGCCTTTTCGGTGTCTGCTCCCAGGCAATGGAACTCCCAAGAGAAACCAGCATGGCCCCATCCCTGCTGGCCCTCCGCAAGCAGATCAAGACCTTCCTATGCCAACAGGCTTTTGGGGAAGGGTAAGGGGAGACTCTGGGGAGAATGGTGGGGGGAGATTGGGGGTATATGAGTTTTAAAGGCTATTTTAATGAATTTGCTGTATTTTAATTCTGGTTTTACTACATTTGTTATTATTTAATTGTTTTTAACTTTTGTATTGCTCTTTTTATACTGTTTATTGTGGATAGATGGTAGTCACATTGAGTCCCCATGCGGTGAAAGGCGGGATAGAAATAAAGATAATAATAATAATAATAATAATAATAATAATAATAATACACTGCCAGATAATGTAGGAAAAGTAGATAATCTGGGATCAGATCTTGACATATAGGGCAGTGTAGATCCAGCCTTAGTGTTTAGAACCTCTCCCCTTATAATATGCCTTGCGTCCTCTACATTGTGTCTCCCTCAATAATTGGCTGTTAATGTTGGGTGCTCCAGGCCTGCCTTTTTCAGATCTGATTAAATGTTGTATTTGCCCTGTCCTCTGGAGACTAATATTTGCAACACAGAGAGTTAACCCAGCTACTTCAAAGGTACTTTGGTCTAAGTACCAAAGTAAAATCTCATGCAAACTTGCTATAGCTCAAAAGCATAGTTTTCATTTCTCCCTTCCCAAAATAAGGAAAGATAATCTTTGATAATAAAAAATCATTTTTTATCTCAGGTTTAGGTTTTAAAATATTATTTACTTAAATTCAATCAATGACTGCAATGTGATGATGACTGACCAAGGCACAGCTCCTTATGTGCAGTTGGTCCTTGGTATCTACAGATTCTGTATCCACGGGTTCAACCATCCATTATTGAAAAACATTAAAAAAGGAGACATTCCAAAAAGCAAGGGAATTATGTAAGAAAAACTATTTTACCACACCATTGTATATAATGACACCTGAGCTTCAATGGGTTTTGGCATCCATAGAGGACCTGGAACTAGACTCTAGCAGATTCTAAGGGGCCACTGCTCAGAACTGCTGATATGCAGTTTTATTTCTAATGAAAGTTCCAATAAAGTGGTGTAGTTTTTAAATTACATGATGCTAGTTGTGAATACCTAATGGGAAGAAAAATACTAACAATAAAACTATATTATATTCTTGTCCCCTCCCCCATTTTTTAAAAAAGAAATATGATTCTCCTGTCAGCATATAACATTAACACGAAATGACATTTTAGGTGCAGCTCATTTCTTATTTGTATGAATCACCGTTCCTTTTTGTAATATGCCCATGCCTACCATTATTAATTTTCAGATAGAATGAGTACTTAAGTAATGGTTTTACAATTATGTTCAATTTATCACATTCAAAGAAAATCTATTTGCATTGATAGTAATATGGGGGAGAGGAGGCTTTTTGGTTATTTTTAGCATCTAAGGGAAAACACAGTTTTATTTATATTTAATCACAAAAACCATATGAATTTCTTAGTATTATTTGATGTGTTTTTAAATAATTCCTTTATTAACTGTAATTCTACTTGCTTCAGTCTTTGATATAGTAATTAACATTTTTTATTTTTTGATATTTGCTGGCATTGTGCAAGGAAATAGCATTGAAGCATGTAATAAGTGGGGGAAACTTTTTCTCTCACCCACTGCCCATCCTTTTACTTTCCAATTTACTTGTTACTACCCCCCCCCCCCCCCAATAGAATGGTCATGATACTAAAGTTTGAGAAAGCGTATCATGCAATTAAAGGAGCAACTGCAGCAATTGAAAGAAAAATGACTAAATATAAGAAAAACAATATTTTCCAGGGGTTGTTGTGAGTTTTTTCGGGCAGTATGGCTATGTTCCAGTAGCATTCTCAAATTCACAACAACCCAGTGATTCTGGCCATGAAAGTCTTTGACAGCACAATATTTTCCAAGTTGTTACAAGGAGAAATATTGGTAGGCCATTATTTTAAAAACAAGGATAGAACAGACTTGTTCTTTCTTT